TGCACTTCAGGTCCAGCAATAACCAGTTGCTTATAAATTGCTTTGATAAAGACGCTATAGAAAAGCAAAACATTATCCTCAACGCAACCGAGGAGAGCTCCTTCAGCATGCACAGTCCTTCCTCGCAGCTTCAAAGGCTGCCGCAGACAGGACGTGCTGAGCTGCCTCCAAATGCTCTGGGGCTTCGTGGACACAAATACAAATGTAAGTCCCTGAAAAGAAGATCCTTGCGTCTGATGCGGAGCAGTTGCAGGGATAAAGAGGCCAGATGTGGGAGAATAACAAGGTAGCAACAGTCTCCTGGTTGCCCCTATGCACAGCGGACTGGCCTGCCTGACTCCTGGCAAGCTTCTAAGGCACAAGTGACCAAGCTGCAGAGGAAAACACAATGCAGCCCCAGAATAATTAAGTAGATCATCTACACCTCACTTTATTTTTGCCATTAAGGATCTTTTCTGTTCTTCTTGAAGAGTAATTTGCTCACACCGGTGGCGGTGTCTGATTATCTGCAGTATCTCAGAGCCCCAGCAATAGTGCAGTGAGCTGCGTTAGACTTAGAGATGTGGTAAGACAGCAGTGTTTTATTAACTCAGCAGACTATTTCTGAACAAAATACGTATTTGTCAGCTGTCCTCAGAGACCCTTGGCAGTGATAACATTGTTCTGCAACAAGGTGGGAAGTCCAGGCTCTGAGTACTTGCAATCTTGGGATTTCATGGAACAGCTCATAAGAGGAGAGTAGCTTGTACACTTCATAAATGCGCTGCGAAGTCAGCATTTGTCTTGTGATCGAGTGGTCACAGAAGGAACAGAGAAGTCAGAGCAAAAGGCCCGTTTCAGCTCGCCTTACTACTTGAGTTCCCCTCCTGCTTTGGCAAGTGGTAGGAGCCTTTTGCATTGGCTGCTGTAAGTGAACGTACCGTTTCTGAGGAGGGAGGTTGGTGGTTGTTCCCTGAGGTCCCTGTGGCTTTACACAGCAGTGCAGCTCAGGGAATAATCCTGTGTACCAGGGAACTTCTGCTCTCACAGCCCCCAGGTGATGCCAGCGAAAGGCGGATTAGGGCCACTGCATGTGACCAACTTCTTGTATCTGTGGACCATGCTTGGGATTTGGGGATGAATGCTTTGCAAATGGCAGTTTTATAATATATAATCTGACATCACCTTGAAATATCCAGCCAGGGCATGAAGTATAGTTGTCATGTGCCAGTTTGGCATACAGTGTCACTTGTATTTCGCTCTATTAGTTCAGAAGTGGCAGTGTATTAAAATCAAACCCTACTTGTCCCTGCCAGCTTCACCAGCCTGGTTCTGTGCCCACTGTGTTGCCAGTAATTCCCCCCACTGTTTGCTGCGAGGTTCATGCAGAGCCACTCTGTCCAAAGTCTCAGTGCAGTTAATTATCTGTATTAAAATTGGGTTGATAAGATTTCTGGAGATGTCACACTGAGCTGTGCAGGAGTGCAAAGAGAATTAAGGACCAGAGGCAGTACAGCTAGCACAGGACTAAGCCGACGAGCTCAGCAGTGAGCTGCAGCTTTGCACGAGGACAAACATTTGGCGTGTTGCACCCTGTATGCACGCCTGACACCAAGAGGCAAGCGCTGTTGTTTATCCTCCTGGATAACTAAGGAAGAAGGAGCTTGCTCTTCCTAGGGGCAAGTGTCCTACTCAAAAATGCCAAAGGTCCCTGCCGCCCGCGCCCCAGCTTCCCAGTTGCACGTGGAAAACCTTCCACATTAACTTTCATGATAAACGAGCAGCAGAGTTTTTAAAATAAACAGCAGTTCTGAAATGCTTCTTTCTGCAGGTGGACTGTGGCCAAGTGGGCCACTTCTGTGTGGGAAGGTTGGAGCCCCAAAGTGTTTCCTTACCCCGCCTGGGTTCCTTATCTTCCTGTACTACGATCTCCCTGACACACCGTTCTTCGGAGTTCTTCCCTAGTAGTTTTACTCTTCTTTCGGCTGACCTCTCAAAGCCCCTCCTAATTGTTTTTTGGTCTTCCAAGTTACCCTTCATCCCCCACAGAGATGCTAATGAAGTGTGAGTGTACATGGATGCAGGCTGCCTGGGAATTTGACAGGGCTCTTGCCCAGCCCTTGTTTTCTCATTAACCTGCTGCTGCGTGAGGAAGGAAGCGAGGGCGCCTCGTTTTGTCCCTGCCTCAAGCTTTCCCTTAGCAATCCAAGCCCTTGAATGTTTTTTTTTTTTTCTTTAAATATATCAATAGCTGTTATTTTGTTTATTAGGAGTGGTACATGTGCCAACTGAATTGCCTGTGTAATCCATTTAAATCAAGAAGTTACATGCTGACATGTTAGCCCTGAGCAGAACTCCTTTTGCCAACTGCTTTAGGGGACAGGAGCTCAGATTCTGCTACGGCTTTATGCAGGTGGTACCCGAGCGTGGCTTTGCGGCCTGAATAAAGATTAGCCAAAGAAATGCTGAGATGCGACTAGGGACCCCCTGCCTGAGTCATTTCATGCCCACCCGACTCAGCATCCCAGAGAAGAGCAGCTTGCTTTTATTTTTTTTTTTTTTTTGTAAACACCAGCTTAGCAAGCTGTGTGATAAAGCTGTAGTATTTAAGGCTGGAGAGTTCAAAGTAATTGAGAAGTCGAGGTTGGACTTGATGATCTTAAAGGTCTTTTCCAACCTAAACAATTCTATGATTCTATTAAAAGCAATGGGATGTGTCGAGGCTGGCTGGGACGGTCTCACAAATATCAGCCACCGTGATTTGTCGTCTCGCAACCTTATTGCTTAATAGGTGCAATGAAGAAGAGCAACTTCCTGAGCGGAATCCGCCTCTCCCCGAATGACCAGGAAGAGAGGGCTACGTCGCCAAAGGGAATGTTGGTTCCCATGAAAAATTTCAAAGCAAGTGATTTTGTCCTTTATCACTGCAATCCATGTTTCCAATAGACGCCGCATTTTTCGTACAGGAAGTCAGCTATAATTACTTTTTTTTTATAAGTAAATGAAAAATGTTGACAGTAGTGGACAATCCCCCCCAAGTTTCAACACTATATGAATGACACATAAAATAAACACATTTTCAGCAGCTCTGCAGAGGATACGCTGGCACTCTCTCCAACGTACTATCCACCCCAGGATTACAAATGGGATGTAGTTTGGCTTTCCTTAGCCTTTTTCAGACCCAAAGTACCAAATTTCGATCTCTCTGCTGAGTGCCTATTGTGGGAAATTTGGAGTAACTCCACTGAAGTCAATTGGGTTGCCCTGGATTTACAGTGCTGTAAATGAGATCAGAATTTGGCTCCAAGTATATTCCATTAATGAGTCAGATACTGGCAATGCAGCCAATATGCACCCAGAAATGGCTTTAACACAGCCTAGGATATTCAAAATTGTTTTATTGAAAGATGGGCTGAAGGCCAGGATTCTGGGGTTCTCTTTTATTCTTTCCATGATATTCACCTTTATGCAGAAGGCCCGTGCGAGGCTGATGCAAAACTTAAGAGCCATTTAAGCTCTTTGAATAGGGCTTGTGAGATGCATAAACGTTGTGCTGAGCTCTTTGCCTGCCCCGGAGCAGATTTATCACTCGGAGTTCAAGATGTTCTAGGATTTATCAACTTTTACGGGGTTTTATAGATTTTCTATGTATTAAGTGACAGGGGGAGACAGTTTGCAAAATATAATGACACCAAGGATGATCTGTTGCAGGCCATAGATGGCACAGTAGGACAAGGGTTCAGAGCTGGCAATTGGAAGTGCTACTACAGGAGAAATAATAAATAAGCATTAGATGGGTTTGCTTTGGAGGAAATCCCTTAATCAACTCCTGAAGTCTTTATTCCAGGGTAGCTTGAGTAAATATCTCACCTGTTTGAGTGTAAGCAACTGCATCACAGGCTCGTCCTCCGCCTCGCCAGCCCCGTTTCCCAGTACCCTACACGCTGAGCATGGCATGTAGGGTACTGGGAAATGGGGCTGGCAGGTTGTGCTCTGCTTTCCCACCCCAGCAGCGCCCACGTGGTTCGTTTTGAAGACCTCTCTGTAAAGACATCTTGTGTGAGAAGCGCGGGTGCCCAGAATCTCCTCCTTGTGACATTTCACAAGTCTAGAGCGAGCTGTGTGGTGCTGTCTGTCTGTCTGTGCTCAGCATTGCCCTAGCCCTGCATGCGCAGGCCTGCAGGACGGGCTCTCTCCCCCTGGCAGGCCAGGGGGCTGACCAGGGATGCCTTTCAACCTCTGGGCTCCTTATTGACGGCTGTTTATTGATGGCCTGTGCGCTGTTGGCTGGTTTTGTGTACCCAGTGTTACCGTGTTCATGCTTTCTCAAGTAGCAAATGCCTTTCCTATTTACCTTCCACCAAAAAGGCAAAGTTGCTTTGCAAAAAGCCTTTTAAAATACCCCCAGTACTCCCAGAGAGCGTGTGTGTGTGAGAGTCTGCGTGCCTGCAGATCCAGAAGCCACAGAAACTGCGTGGCTAGCTGGTAGCCTTGATCGCAGCAAGACAAATGAAAATGTGTTTCAAGCCTAGATGATTCATTTGGCTTTAGTCCTTCAAGCTATTTTCACTGTTGCTTCAGATTCCTCAAAACTAGAAAGCCAGACTGTAAACTGAGGGGGAAGGCTGTAATTGCCACATCCTGTGCGCAGCAGCAGCTGGAGCAGCTGACAGTAACTGGGATAGAGCAGATACGGTTAAATCTTAGAAGCCTGAACCAGAGACGTTCTAGGTTACTCGGAGCCCATCGCAGTGCCGGAATTTGCCCGTTTCCCTCAGAGTGGAGGTTTCAGTTCATCTCAGCGGCGGTGCCGCTGCATGGTGATAACCTTCCCACTGGCGTAAACAGGGAGGGTAGCACTACAGAAGGAAGGAAAGCGATTCTGGGTTTACATCAGAGTAATGCCAATCAGAATCTGCCCCAAAGCTGTTTGCCAGCCCTAATTACACTCTGACTTCATAGCTGATGCAGTTGCATAGTCAGCTACTCCCCCCTCCTTTCCCCCACCCGGCTGAAATCACCTCATCCAGGCGGCCAGCAGAGATTTCTGCACCGAGGTTGTTATCAGAGCGCTCATTGTCACAGTCTCTGCAAGCTTAGACACCACCGTCTGAAAGGTGGGATCTGCCCCCGCAAATGCTGGTGTCAACAAAGCAGGGTACAAATGCGGGAAATGGGAATTTCATAGTAGATGCCCCGTGGGCACCTCTCCTGCTAATTTGCACTTAGATAGGTGCCTTTCTCTGAGCACTTTATTAATTAAGGCTTGCAGCCCACCTGTGAGGCAAATAAGTTATTACTGCCCTCATTTTACAGCAGCGACTGAAAGAAGTGGTTTGCCCAAGGCCACAAATCTAATCAGTGGCAGAACCAGGAATGCGTGAGTTCCTCCAGTCTCCTGTGATACTCAGTGCACCCCATTGCCTACCTGTAACAAAATTAATGGCTTCCCTAAAAGTTAACATTTTTGTTAACGTGATGTAAATGAAGATGGAGCACCCAAAAGAACGAGCCTCGCAGAATGAGAGCTCGCCAGAAATCCTGCAGTAGCACAGGGGTAAAGGCGTAATCTCTTCCGCTGAACCACAAAACCAGCATCCCCATAAATTACACACCTCTTCTGGTTAGTAAATTTAGCAGGAGGGTCCAGGCATAAATTTAAAAGAAGTTTTTATTGTAACCAATGCATCAATATAATTAAAACCAAACACAATTCTTTTGCTTTCTTAGGCTGGAGAAAACCCTGTGCCCTTGGAGAAAATTGTTTCCCCTTTTCCTCCAGGGAATCCAGAGCCTGAGCAGCAGCTGTGAAGAGTGGAGATAAAGAAAGAAGTGGAAGATGTTGGAAGTGCTTTGGGCAACGTGACGAAGGATTTGCACGGAAGGAGCTGTTCAAGGGCCCAGCAGCAAAACAGAGACACATACATGCTTATATATAGAAGAATGTAAACCCTCCTGTATGCATACGTTAAAACGTGCATGCCTTGTTGAGAACGTAAGCAACATTCCTTGTAGATGATGGTGGTCTGAGCATTCGTGCTCCTGCAGTCTGAGTCAAACGATTAGTGCTGTCCTTGCTGTAACGCTAGTGTTTTCTCCACCGCGCCTTCTTTATGGCGACAGAAACGTTCCCTTCAGTGCAGCAGGATGAGAAATAATCTAACCATCCCGAGTTAAGTAATACCTTGAGAGACCAAACTTGCTGCAAAGCGGGCACGTCCTGGCCGTGGGGGGGGGGAGCGGGTGCTCAGCAGCTTGGACGACAGACAGTTTGTGTGTGTATATATTAAGCGCTACAGCACCAGGTGAGATAAGCTTTTCTTATGACGTTAGTTTCTCTGGTGCTACATTTAATATTTGTCTGGGGCTAAACTGCCTCTCTGTGGTGCTACAGTTTCCCCAAGAGGATGTTCTGCAACATGGGGTGAGGAGAAATCTATTTTGGTTATTAATATTTATACACAAGATAGCAAAAAAATACTACTTGTTGAGAAGGTGCTATTTTTTCTTTCTTTCAATCTCTGCTTAAATTAAGACAAAACAAATAATCTAGCCCAGAACTTTATAAAGCTTCAGTTTCTTTGGGACAGTTCTTTTTCTTTTGATGGTTCGGAGCTTGGGAAGCAGCGTTCACTGAGGTGGCAAAGACACACTGGCTTTTTCCACCGCAGCGTACCTGTCGAAGTCTGCTGGTGCAGATGCTCCTACAGCTCCAGAGCTGGGTATTCTCCTGGATGGCGATTTAAGCAGTCTCCAATCCTGTGAACCAGGGAAGAGAACAACATCCAGACTAATCAATAGGCTGGGGGATAACAGGAGAACTTGTCCCTAGACGTCAAAGGGCTTTTTGCAGTCTACTACTGAGTGCTTTTTTCTTGCAGCCGAAACTACCTGTCAGATTCAGGATACCTTCCAGATGCTATTTACAGTAATTATTACGCACAGTTTTTTAGCAACATTTTTCCCAGCTTCAGATACTTGCACCAGAAAATCGTCCCTCTCATGGCAAGGGGGAATTTTCAAAGGCATAAAGGAATGCTAAGAACCCAATTTCCAACAGAAGTTTTGCTCCTTGTCTTTTAAAAATACTCCCTAACCCTCACCCGATCAAGGAAGAAGCCGAGCGGTCACTATGTCCCAAACCTCGCATTTTTCACTACCCCAGGAGAAATGTTTCTAAGCAGCCTCAAAGCTAAATTCTCCCTTTATCAACTACTCACGGATGTGTTCTGGGCCCCTGCACACGTATTCATGGGTATCATTGGTCCAAGTCAATCCACAAACAGCAGAAAGGGCTATGCTGAAAGAGCAAACCGTTCCTAATGAACAACCTTGCCCTGCTTTGTGTTCTGTGCAGTGTTGGGAGGGCTCGTGTAGCTGAGTGTAGTTTGTCTGTTGATCAAGTTTGGATGGCCCCAGAACTACAGGGACCGATAAAACATCTTCCTACCATTTTTGGCCTGATGCTCAGTAATACTGGGCAAACTGCTGCCGGCCTCAGACACCTGCTGAAATAAATAAGAATTCTTCTAGCAAGAGGAGGAGACTCAGCTGATTTCAGCAGTGTTGCAAGGGCTGGATTAGTGACTGCTGGGTCGGGCGTAGTCTTAAAAATACAACTACCTGCAAATCACTCAAAATGAGGAAGTGAAATCATACGTATGGTGTTGCACAAAGTCGAATTTGAACAGAAAATAATTGATCAGGAAGACTGGCTGCGTCGCTTTGCTCTACAGGAGGTCTTCCTGCACCCTGCGTGCGTACCCCACGTACATGGGCAGCCTTGTGACAACCCATCCGGCCTAGGAGCTGCCTTACATTTCTCAGTGCAAGAGAGAAGGCTCTCCCACATATTCCTCAGCTTTTAACAATTATTTGCTCCCGAGTTCTGAATGTTTAATAAATTTCTCACCCGTGATGTGCATTATCCCATTTTCCTGTGCATCTCCTGTGTGTACAGTCTGCACTGCTGTTGGTTTTCCTGCCACACTGGCTGTTTGGGTCTGCAGCCTTGAGGCTCCTTGGAGCATTTTTTCCAGAGAGGCAATTTCCCTGGAAACATTACAGCACAGCAAAGGAAAAGTAAAAAAGGTCCTGTCCTTACCATAGCATCCTCACCTTGGGAAAGCCCCTTGAATTGGTGATCAGCCTCAGCAGCAAAGCAATTGGCTAAGCTCCCTCCGTCCTTCCCTGCCGCGGACAGGCTTTTCTGTAAAAAACCCCAAACCCCAGAACTCCCAGGGGAGCAGCCTCCTCCTTGGTGGTTCCCAACATTCAGCAAAACTGTACGAAGACGCGTGCTGCCCGTTGTTACTCTCCTGAAAAAAACAAATCTATGGTGCTTCCCAAGCATAAAGAAGAGCAGGTCCGGTAGCCCGAATCCTGCTTTAATCCCAATTTGCTTCACTTTTGTAGTTCTAAATTGGATGTTTCGAGTGAACCGAGGGTTACGTTTGGGAGACTTTCATCTATTAGTTGCTGGGTCAAGCGAGCTTTGCTAGAGAAACAGCTTACCAGCACCCTACAGCCAGCATTCCCTGTACATAAACCGAATTACTTACTAGAGGGTACGTATTTGTCAAAGCCTTACATTTTCTGGTATAATTGCTATTCTTGAATGCCTCCATTTTTGGACAAGGGGTGTTTTTATCCTTTTTAAAATACCTGATTTAACCCTGGTTGATGTTTGTATTGGAAAAGAAAGCATGCTGTATACTCCCCTAGTGCTGTTCTTACTGTACTGCAGCAGCCGTGTGAGATGGTGGGGGGTTTTCTGTACTGCACTAATGGGTAGGAAACCGGCACAGTTCCTCTCTCGCCCCTCTTTTTTATTTATTTTTTTATTTTTACAGCAGCCAAGAAGTCATTGATTTTGATTAGCTTCGCAGTTGCGCCTCCGTGAAGACCGGGGAGTGCTCTCTAAATGAAAAAAAAAAAAAAAAGACCTCATCTTAGGTTTCAGCAGACGGTGCGTGTGCAAGCCAGAGGAGGAGGTTATGAGATCATAGTCTATCTAGAACGCCGCATAATGTGGCCGTGAGGAAAGTCTTTATTAATTTTTAAAGCAGCACTCCTCCAAGATAGCTCCCATCACATATTGGAACTTAGTATTTCAAGTTAAAAAAGCAGCCTAGTGTGGACTACTCATCGGCTTCTCACCCCCTGCCTGCTAAAATAAGTCCTTTGGCCAAATTAATTCTAGGATGGCACTGCTGTCTGCTTGCAGGCAGCTGGGTTACACCTAGGACAGAATCTAGCCCATTAATTCCAGATTCCTTCCTCTTTTCTCCTAGAATTCCTTTCAGTCGGTAAAAAAATATGGAATGAGACCAGTTCTACCTCCTATATTGTACAGGAACAGCAATGCCTCCTGCATCATACACTTACATGTGCCCAGGAGAGGCATCAGCCAATAAAAACGCACAGCAAATCACCAAAATCAATGAGTTGTCAGTGATGAGGAATGAGAAACCCATCAGGCTTCTGTTTTAGAGCACGTAGGCATGCAGAAATTACCCTAATTTAGCTAAGCCTAAAGCAATTTACTTAAATCAGAAACACTTGTTAAATCGGTTTAATCTGATTTGTGAATTTGTTTCTATGTCATGCTAAAATTGTAAGGGCCTCGCCTCCACTGCACAAGCAGCCGCAGTACCTTCGGGTGGTTACGAACGGATTTGGTTAATCCAGTGCAGTTTCTGTGTCCACATGCGCCTTGGAATCGGGCATTTTCCCCTGCTGCCTTGTGAGATGCAATGGTTTGGTTAAATTCTGCTTCC